CTGCTGGGCTGGCGCGAGCGGGCGGAGGCGGGCAGGAAGTGCCGCGCCGAGCGAGCCGGGAACTAGCAGTCACCGCGACAGGGCCGCGGCGGCGGGCTCCCGGGCCTGGGCAGCCGCGGGTAAAGGCCTAGCTGCGTCGGTCGCCCCTCCAGCCCGGCTGGACGACTGCGCTTGGCGGGAGCACGAGCGGGATGCGGAGTGGGGAGGCGCGGTGCAAGTGCGGCTGGGAGTTCTGGGCTGGAACGAGTAGCACTGGGCTGGGCCTCTGGGAAGAGGGGGTGATCGCAGCTTTTCCTGTGGGTCCCCAAAGCCATCTGAAAGGAGAGGAGTTGCTTGGGACCCCGTCTGGTGCGTGACTCTGGACCTGTGGGCACACTGTCCCTGTACTGCCCTGGAGACAGGGTGATCAGCAGAGAACTGCTGTGTCCTTGTGCGTCCCACCTTGACTCAGTGGCCCTGGATCTGATGTAACCCTGATTCCAGGTTTGGTGGTGGTGGTGGTGCGCTCTTACCCCTTCCTCACCTCCTGGGACTCCTGCTTCCCGTCCTGTCAACACCCTGGCCAGCTGCAGCACTGGTTGGGCCTGCTAAGGCATGCCACCCTATGCAGCCATGCAGAAAAGGGTGCCCTCCCTTAATCTCTGTCTCCAGAGACCCGGCGGTTCCGGGTCCGAGCCTGCGTTTAGAGGAGCCGTGGGGCTCAGGAAAGGCTTCCGAAGAGAGAAGACTCTTGAACAGTATTTTAAAAGATTGGGATTCTGATAGTGAAGAAAGGTCATTCTGAGCTGAATAATGTGAGCACAAAGTTCACAAAGTGAGAGCAGGAATGCAGTGCACAGGGAGAAGGAGGCTGGGGGCAAACTCAAAATAGCTGTGGGCCAGGCACTGGCTACCTGTCAGTAACCTTTAGGGCAGTCTGGACAGAGGGACTGGGATGGACTGAGACTGCAGGGAGAGCGCCCCTATGGAAAAGGGGGTCCAGTAAACCCCGAAGTGTCTGTACTGGCTCTGAGATAGGTGACCGGAAGGCAGAGCAGTGGGAGGGGCTGGAGGACAGTTCCCACTGATGGAGCAGGCAGGGAAGGAAGGATTAAACAAAGAAGTCAGGTTTCCAGTGTGGCCTGAGTATTGAGGAAGAGCCGTGGCGAAATAACTAGAAGGGGAGAGGGAAGGATGAGTCCAGTTTCACACGGGTGAAGTTTGAGGCAGAATGGCATTCTGACTATGTCACGTCGGAAGTTCATTCACTCGTTCATTTATTATTTATATCAGCCTCAAAGCAGCTTACATAAAAGTCAGAGAGAAGATAAAATGATGAAACCATTACAACTCAGCTAAAAGGACCTGATGGCTGGGGACCAAAGGCAGAAGGGAGTAGATAATAATTACTGGAAAATGTAAGTTCCAGAAAGCTATTGAAAATAAGCACAAAACTCCTCTCTGAGCTTGCTGGCAGCCAAGGTGGTAGAGAGGACACCTAAATGCAGAGTTTGTTGTTTTGTTTTGTTTTGAGACAAGGTCTTGCTCTGTAGCCCAGGCTGGCCTCAAACTTGTGGCGATCCTCCAGCCTCAGCCTTTTAAATGCTAGGATTCCAGGCATGCACCACTGCACCCAGTTTCTAAAAGCAGATTATTGGGCTAGATGTCAGGAGTAAGGTGTTTGTGAAGGCTCAGGAGAGAGGCAAGCAGTGGTAGGAGATGAAATGGGATCAGGTTGAGATCATCAGAGAAGGACAAGAGCGGGAAGCTGGCCAGGGCAGCATGCGTACGAGGGAGGGCTGGGCCTGGCCTGGGGGATGTCCCCCCTGACTGGCGTGGGGCAGAGGTGTGAGGGAAGGAAGGAGAGAATAGTACTGGCTGTACATTCACACGGTTCTCCTTGCAGGGGAGCAGGCGAGAAGGTGGTGCTAAGTCCCCCAGCTGCTGACCTTTTCTCCCAGGATGAGGTGGGGGCACCATTTGTCCAGGGCTTCTTGGGGCTGTGGTCTGGGAAGAACACCCCGACCACCAGGTAAGCAAGAAGCAGGGGCTTCTCTTTCTATTTCCTTGCTATTCAGAGTCTGGATGCATCTCCTAGAGAGCGGGGATCCCAGACACCAGCGGCCCTAGACCCAGCTCTGGTTCTCTAGCTGGTGACCTTCCCGTGTCACCTCACCTCTCTGAGCTTCCTTTTTCCCATCCTAAAATAGGAGGGTAGGACTAGGTGATCTTCTGGGGCCCCTTCTAGCTCCACAAGTCCAGGAATAGTTGTCTGATTTTCTTTTGCATTTAACAGATATTGAATATTAACCCATGGGCTCAATCCCAGATTACGTTCTAGATGTATAACAGTGAACAAGAACAGATGTGGTTCCTGCCCTTATGGGGGGCAGTGAATGTTAATCAATCAATCACATAATAAAATATAGGATTGCACAATAACTGCTACAGAGGGCACTTTGTGTTGCTATGAGAACAAATAAGGGGTCTGTGCACAGGTGGGAAAATGTGAATGGGATCTGTAGATCTGTTTCTTCCTTTTCTCTGTAGATGGTCATATACCCTTCCTGATCCACTGGAGCTGGCTCCCTAAAGAGGATCGCCCCCTTGGGCCCCTTAGGTGAGCCCTTGATGTCATGCCTTAGAATGCATCTTGGGGCCGGGTGTGGTGGCGCACACCGGTAATCCCAGCACTCGGGAGGCTGAGGCAGGAGGATCATTGTGAGTTCGAAACCAGCCTGGGCTACAAAGTGAGCTTAAGGCCAGCCTGAACTGCATAGCGAGACCCTGTCTCAAGAAGATGAAAAAAAAAAAAAAAAGAAAAAGCATCTTGGGCACATCCCTGAGACTGGAAAGAGCCTGGACATGGCACTAAGTGGATCCCCTTGGAGAGGGGATGGGGATCCTGCAGGTGGGAAGGGCAGGGAGGCAGCTCCCAGGCCTTGGAGAAGTTGGCTTAGATCATCTATGTAGCAGTCATGGTGGGGGAACGGGGCACCTGTGAGAAGTGGGTGGGCCTGGCAGTTACCAGCCTGAGTTCCATGCAGGCCATTGGTTGTGGGGCATGGAGGGCCAAGGCGAAGGCTTAGTGCCTGGGAAGGCGTGAGAATTGGGTGTCCAGTGTTGGGCTTGGGTCGCAGTGGGAAGTCCAGCAGGGCAGGCTGGACTCAGAGCCTGTACAGGGCTGAGCCCCCTATCCAAGCCCCAGATCATCCCCTCCTTGTTCCCAGGGCCTTTGTACGCCACCATGGAAGCTCGGCAGACACAGCTCCCCTGTCCGGGAGACATGGACCGCTGTTCCGGAGCGCCTCTGCAGCTGGTAAAGGACTGGCTGGGATCCAGATGGAGGGCGGGGTGGAGAGGCGGGGCCTGAGATGAGAAGCGGGATGAAGGAGGTGAGAGGATCCACTGCCCTCATCCTTCAGCAGTCCTTTCTTCCCTGCGTCTGTGATCCCTGCCTGCAGTACTCGTGCGAGGCACACTTACTGTGCACAAAGCACTTAGAGATGCACTCTCTACCTTCAACCAACTTTGGGGCTAACAACCAGGGTTTTTTTTTTTGATACCAGGAATTGAACTCAGGACCTTGCACCTGCCAGGCAGGCACTGTGCTGCTGAGCTGTATCACCAGCCCTCAACCAGGTTAAGACTATGCACAGATATCTGTGAAGCTGGTTAGCATAGCCTCAGCATTATATCCCAGAGGCTCCCCACCTTCTGCCACAGGGGTTCCAAACACCTTTATTTTCTGAGGGAGTCCTGGCTTCCAGTATCTTGGGGTGCTGTGTCTTGATGCCCAACCTGACCCTGACTGCAGCATCTCCAGCCCCTTTCCCTGAGCCAAGTCTCTTGCCTTCCCATCTAGAAGCGATCCATCAGCACCGCCAGAACCTGGCTGAGTGGTTCAGCCGGCTGCCCAGGGAGGAGCGTCAGTTTGGCCCAACCTTTGCCCTCGACACAGCCCATGTTGACCCTGTGATCCGCGAGAGCACCCCTGATGAGCTGCTTCGCTCATCTTCGGCACTGGCCTTGGACCATCAGTCGCCCCCGGCGGGGCTCCCCCCTCTGGCCCTGTCTCAGCTCTTCAACCCAGATGCCTGTGGGCGCCAGGTGCAGACAGTGGTGCTCTATGGGACGGTGGGCATGGGCAAGAGCACGTTAGTGCGCAAGATGGTCCTGGACTGGTGCTATGGACAGCTGCCGGCCTTTGAGCTGCTCATCCCTTTCTCCTGTGAGGACCTGTCATCCCTGGGCCCTGCCCCTGCTTCCTTGTGCCAACTTGTGGCCCAGCGCTACACACCCCTGAAGGAGGTTCTGCCCCTGATGTCTGCGGCCGGGTCCCGCCTGCTGTTTGTGCTCCATGGCTTGGAGCGTCTCAACCTGGACTTCCGGCTGGCAGGCACAGGGCTTTGTAGTGACCCCAAGGAGCCGGGTGTACCAGCTGCCATCATCGTCAACCTGTTGCGCAAATACATGCTGCCCGAGGTGGGTGACTCATGGAACACTCTGCCACTGCTGTCCCTTGACCTGCCCTCTAAGGCAGTGGTGAACCTGTGGCACGCGTGCTGCAGCAGGCATGCAGAGCCCTCTGCTGGCACGCCAGCCAAGTGTATGAGTTGTTTTTTCTAAACTATATCTCAGTATTCAGGTTTAATTGCAGTGTTGGCAATTTTGGGTTGCAGTTTGGGCACTTGGTTTCTAAAAGGTTCGCCATCACTGCTGTAAGGAGTCTTGTGTCCTGGCCCACATATTTGTTTGGTAGGGTAGGCCCTGGCTTAGTTCAAGCCCTGGACTTTCTACTTCCCAGTTGTGAGATGCTGAGCAAGTGACTAACTTCCCCAAGCTTCAATTTCCAGTGTCCTAGAGTCATACTGATTAAGTGAGATCCTGTGCTTAACTTGGTGCCCTGGACCATAATAGATGTTCAGTAACTGTTAGTTACAATTAGTCATTGTTCCCTTCATCCTTGGATGGACACTCAGTCTTCAGGGGCTTGAAGTCATCAGCGCACTCAGGTCTTTTTTTTTTTTTTTTTTTTTGAGACAGGGTCTTGCTATACAGTTCAGGCTAGCCTTGGACTCACTATGTAGCCCAGGCTGATCTTGAACCCACAGAGATCCTCCTGCCTCAGCCTTCCATGTGCTGGGCTTATAGGTATGCCTGGCAGGTCTTAACCCTCCAATATGCCCTTCCCAGGCCCGCATTCTGGTGACTACTCGGCCTTCTGCCATCGGCCGCATCCCCAGCAAATATGTGGGCCGCTATGGTGAGATCTGTGGCTTCTCTGATACCAACCTGCAGAAGCTCTACTTCCAGCTCCGCCTCAACCAGCCTGACTGTGGGCACAGTGCAGGTATCTTGGCCACGCCAGCTCAGCGGGATCACCTGGTGCAGATGCTGTCCCGGAACCTGGAGGGCCACCACCAGATCGCCACTGCCTGCTTCCTGCCCTCCTACTGCTGGCTTGTCTGTGCCACCTTGCACTTCCTGCATGCCCCAATGCCTGCTGGCCAGACCCTCACAAGCATCTACACCAGCTTCCTGCGGCTCAACTTCAGCGGGGAAACGCTGGACAGTGCTGACCCCTCTAATTTATCCCTGATGGCCTATGCAGCCCGAACCATGGGCAAGTTGGCCTACGAGGGTGTGTCCTCCCGCAAGACCTACTTCTCTGAAGAGGATGTCCAGGGCTGCTTGGAGGCTGGCATCAAGACGGAAGAGGAGTTCCAGCTGCTGTATGTCTTCCGCCGGGATGCCCTGAGGTTTTTCTTGGCGCCGTGTGTAGAGCCAGGGCACCTGGGCACCTTCGTGTTCACTGTGCCTGCCATGCAGGAGTACCTGGCTGCCCTCTACATCGTGCTGGGTTTGCGCAAGACGACCCTGCAGCGGGTGGGCAAGGAGGTGACTGAGCTGGTGGGCCGTGTTGGGGAGGATGTCAGCCTGGTACTGGGCATCGTGGCCAAGTTGCTCCCTCTGCGGATTCTGCCTCTGCTCTTCAACTTGCTCAAGGTAACAGCCCCAGGACCCCTACCCTTGTTCTTTTCTTCCAGGACCCCAAACTGCCCACCGTCTGGCTCCTCGAGCACTCGCCCTTCTCCCACTAGGAAGGCACTGCTTTTCGCATAGGTGCGAGTCTTCACCTGAGCTCCGGTTCTAGCTCTGGGAAATTTGGCTTCCACTGGGGTTGAGGCCTGAGGAATGGGAGGAAAGCCATTGGCTGGGAAAGGCTTGTAGCGGGGAGGGATTTGAGGGCATGGGGACTTCGCTGACAAGCCCAGATGGAGCTGAACAGCAGTTGGCTTCTTCCATCTCTCCTCCTAGCCTTGGTTGCCAGGAAGCAGAGGTCACTACAGTCCAGGATCTGTCCTTTGCTTTGGTAGCTCAGAAACCTGATTGCATCTGTTTCCTCAGACATGATTAGGCTCTGGGAGTGATGACTCATTCTAACTCAATCACAAGAGACAGGTTTATAAAGCAGATGCCATTTTATTCATTTATACTGGGAGGATGAGTGGCAGTGGTAATTGGCTTAGGATGCTCCATCCTGGGTGCAGTCCTGCTCAGAAAGCCACCGAGGCCTGAAGGCTGACCAGGGAGCGGCTGGTGCACAGAACTCCTGAGAGACGGAGAGACCCACTCTGCTGTGTGCCTGGCACTTCTTCAGGCTTCTTTTGTTTTTCATATCAACCTGGAGATGAAGCATTACCATGATCCCTTTTATATAAATTTTAAAATTTTGATGTTGTTTTGAGACTGTCTTGCTGTACAGTCTAGGCTGGGCTTGAACTCACCATGCAGGGCAGGCTGGCCTTGGACTCATGATCATCTTGCCTCTGCCTCCCAAGTGCTGGGATCGTAGGCGTGCACCACCACGCCCTCATAATGCTATTGATTCAGCTTCACAAGGTGACATTTTTGGTCCTGTCCCCAGATGAGTTTTGGAGGAGGGACACTGCCACCTACACAGCAGGAAACTCTTACAACAAATGAGAAGGTGGGAGTGGTGGCACATGCCTGTAATCCCAGCACTCTGGAAGGCTGAGGCAAGAGGATCACATGCTTAATTTCAGTTTGAGCAATTTAGTGATTTAGGGAGATCCTGTATCAGAAAATAAAAAGGGCTGGGATGTAGCTCAATGCAAAGGCACTGGGTTCAATCCTCAGTACCACAAAAAGCAAAACAAAATAAAACAAAAAGTGAGGGGCTGGGGATTTAGCTCAGCGGCACAGCACCTGCCTGGCAAGCACAAGGTTGTGAGTTCGATTCCTGGTACCGGAAAAAAACCAAAAAACCAAAAGAAAAAAAAAAATGAAAGAACTTGGGAGCCCTCGGGAAAGTGAAGCAGGAAGATTGCGAGTTTGAGACCAGGCTGGGCTACATGGCCAATTCAAGGCCAGCCTAGACTACATAAACAGACCCAATCTCCCTCTTCCCGCAAAGTGAGAAAACCCAGACAACAGAGGAGGTGCCACAAAACTGTCTCACAGTTCAGTGCTAGAGGAATAGAACCTTCCTTCTCGCCTTTCACAGCCCTTGCAAGGGCACTAGGAGTACAGTTCAGGGGTCGATAATTTACCTAGCATGTGTGAGGCCCTGGGTTCAATACTCAGCACCACAATAAAAGAAAACCAGAACCATTACAGAGTGGGAGATGACACTGCCATCCTTCCCAGACATTCATTTCTTTGTCAAATATTTGAATGCCTGCTATGTGCCAGGCAGGGTGTTGAGATTTTGAGGGAAAAAAAATCAGTGAGCATAACTGCAGGTTTCTACCCTTTCTGATCTTATAGCCTGAATACAAAAAAAGTCAATGTAACTATATAATGAAAAATTATGGTAAATGCCTAGAAAAAAAGTTCCAGGTGCTGTAAAAGGTACACTGGGGGGACCCTAGGGTTGGGGTGGGTGATCAGGAAAGCTTTTCTATGGCAAGGTATTTAGTCTGATCCCTGCAGGATTAGTCAAGAGGAGAACTGGGGGAAACACCCCAGGAAGAGGCAGCATCTAGAGATGATTAAAATATACGAAGGATAGGCTGGGCATGGTGGCACATACCTGTAATCCCAGCACTCTGGAGGCTGAGGCAGG